ACTTTATTCCATGAAGGGTTTGGGGGTAACTGCTGAAGGCAGTTGGGGCAAGTGGGAGAAGCTGTCCTTTAGCATGAGACTTGGTCACACAGGTCTGTACGCGTCAGCCACAGATAATGTCACCAATGTCTCATTCTCCGGACACTGCAGGATCCAGAAGCTCTTTGAACAGAAGCAAGTTTTATAACGGCAGCGCATTGGAAGGCCCGGCAGAGACCCCAGAAGGGGGACCTGAAAGAGCAGACCCTCCAGGGCTGGCCGAAGAGCGTATTTGTTAGGCATATTTGCCCCCGCAAGGCAATCACTCCTCAGCCTGGTAGAAAGGGCAAGGCATGGGAAGGAGACCTCAGTCTCAAATCCTAAAGCTTGAGGCTTTGGAAACAGGCAATAGAGTTGAATATTGGGAATGAACCACACGTGTGGAGGTAAAAGGGCCCCCGTCCACTAGTTTTGATGGACAGAAAGCACAGTGGCTAAGGTGGTAATACATATAGTAGTGATTGATTTCTTAATTTGTAAATGTGATCCTCGAAGGACAGTACGTGACAAGATTCTGGGGATGTCCAAGAGGCCACAGTCAAGGACACATATCAACGTAACTAACGGTGGTGATCTCATTGGTTGCTGAGCCTTTGTTAGTTAAGACACCAAAGCTGACTCTTTTCTAAACTCTTTAGTAAATGAAAGCAGCTGATCCAGGTGGCTCTGAGCTGCTGGCCAAAGTCTACTTCCTGGAGACACTGCGGAATGAAGAGTTTAGATCATATTGCAGGGAGACCCCCCACGAAAAAAGAATGCAATGTTCACATGTAAGGCTGAGACACTTGCATTAAGCCAAACACTGATGGAAGTTGCTGCCAGAGATTCAGAGGCGCCCTCTCTGTGGGTTCTGAGATACAAAGACCTACAGACCTTGCACTCCTATTAAATACTATTTATCCTTCTTTTTGGGGTTTGGTTCAGATTGTGTGGCCTTCTCCATTCATCGTTTCTCACTCGTTCAGTTCACAAAAAAAATCTCCAAAATGATATGTGTCGTAGAAGAATTAGGTTCGGGATGAGGACCATAGAGCCTAGAGGAGAGAACCGTCCAGGAGAGGGGCGGTCTACCTGGAGAATGAGCTGACCCGGCCAGTCCTGATGGATGAATAGGAACCAGCTCGGTGAAATATTCAAGGCCGAGAGACCAGTAAGAAGAAACACAGACAGGACAAGAATATTGACTTGCCATCAGAGATGAGCCCTCCTATCACCGGCCTGCAGGAAGGGTGCACAGTGATGTGGCCTGCTGGGCTCACACAGACTGCCAACCAGCCCTTCAAATTTTAGTCCTGTGCTCCACCCCCAAGCCTTGGTGAACCTGGTGTTGCCAAGTCTGGTGCATTTCCCATTCCCGAGGGTCAAATTGTACCCTTTTTAGGTGCTTGCCTGACCCATGATGCTCTGGAGGGCTGGTCCCTTTTCTCTGTTACATCAGCTCTCCCCTTCAGTTGCTTAGCAACTGCCAGAAGCTTTTGGAAATCTCTCTTTCCCCGATGGCCCCTCTCTTCTTCTGCCATTAGGGGTTTCTTCTTCCCGCTCTCCCTTCTTTCACTTCAGTGGGCTTGTTGAAGGGGGAGGAATAAGGACATGTGGATAGTTGTCCACTTTTAACAGAGAAGATTCAGCTCTATGTTGTGCTGCTTCAAAATTTTCCCAGAGAAAGCACCTTACAAATATAAAAAGGAAAAACTCCTTCTATTTAAAAATGTTTTCTAGTACTACAAAATGCATACATTTTACCAACATCTTGTATTTGTACATACAGGTGTCATCATTTTAGTTCCCAACATTCCAGTCTGTAATTTAATCCTATTCACTTTTAATACCATCCCCTCTTTAAAAATGCCCACGTATAGCACAATAACAGATGCATATATCAATGGCACAGAATAGAGACTCCAAAAATAAACCGATGGTCATATGGTCAATTAATCTACGATGAAGGAGGCAAGACCACACAATGGAGAAAAGACAGTCTCTTCAATAAATGATGCTGGGAAAACTGGACAGCGACATGAAAAGGACAAAACTGGACCACTTTCTAACACTGTACACAAAAATGAGCTCAAAATGGATTAAAGACCGAAATGTGAGACCTGAAAGCATAAAAACCCTAGAAGAGAGCACAGATAGTAATTTCTCTGACATTGGCTGTAACAACATTTGTCTAGATATATGTCCTAAGGCAATGGAAACAAAAGCAAAAATCAACTTTAAGATAAAAACTTTTTGCAGTCATGAATTTAAAGAAAGACTAGTCTGGGGGCACCTGGCTGGCTCAAGGGTTAAGCATCCAACTTTGGCTCAGATCACGATCTCAGGGTTCGTGGGTTCAAGCCCCGCATTGGGCTCTGTGCTAACAGCTTGGAGCCTGGAGCCTGCTTGGGATTCTGTGTCTCCCTCTCTCTCTGCCCCTCCCCTGCCTGTTCCTGCTCTCTCTCTCTCTCTCCCTCAACATAAATAAACATTTAAAAAAAGAAAAAAAAAAAACCTTTGCACAGCAAAGGAAACCATCAACAAAACAAAAAGACAACCTACTGAATGGGAGAAGGTATTTGCAAGTGATATGACTAATAAATTGTTAATATTCAAAATGTACAAAGAAATTATACAACTCAATACCAAAAAAAAAAACCCCAAACAATCCAATTAAAAAATGGGCAGAGGACACAAATAGACATTTTACCAAAGAAGATATACAGATGGCCAACAGACACATGAAAAGATGTCCACAATCACTCATCATCAGGGAAATGCAAATCAAAACTACAATGAGATACCACCTTACACTTGTCAGAATGGCTAGAATCAAAAGGACAAGAAACAACAAGGGTTGGCCACGATGTAAAGAAAAAGAAACTCTTGGACCCTGCTGCTAGAAAGGTAAATTAGAATAGCCAATATGGAAAACAGTATGGAGGTTCCTTAAAAAATTAAAAATAGAAGTACTATACGGCCCAACAATTCCGCCACTGGGTATTTACCCAAAGAAAATGAAAACACTAATTTGAGAAGATATATGCACCCTGGTGTTTATTGCAGCGTTATTTACAATAGCCAAATTATGGAAGCAATCCAAGTGTCCATCAATAGATGAATGGATAAGGAAGATGTGGTATGTGTGTGCACACGCTCACGTGCATGCACACACACGCACACGCACACAATGGAATATTACATGGCCATAAAAAGATGAGATGTGTCACTTGAGACAACATGGATGGACCGAGAGGGTATTATGCTAAGTGAATAAGTCAGACCGAAAGAGACAAATACTATATGATTCCACTAATATGTAGAATTAAAAAAAAAAAAAAGAAAACAAATGACCAAACAAAAAGCAGACTGAGACCTAGAAATACAGAGAAAAAAACTGAAGGTTGGCAGAGGAAAAGGATGGGGCTGGTGGGCAAAACGGATGAAAGAGAGTGGGGGGACACAGGCTTCCAGTTCTGGAATGAGTAAGTCATGGCAATAAAAGGCACAGCACAGGAACACAGTCAATGATAATAGTGTAATAGTGACGTAGTGGGGACAGATGGTAGGTACACTTGTGTGAGCATAACATAATGTATAAACTTGTCAAATCACTATGTTGTACACCTGAAACTAATGTAACATTGTGTGTCGACTATACTCAAATAAAACAAAAATAAATAAAAACGTTCACCTAAAATAACTCTACACATGGTGAAAACAGCTCAGGTTAACACACATTGTCCCTTTTGTCCCCCTCTCTGAGTTTTCTTAGTTCTTAAATTCCTCAGACAGCTTATTAGTTCACATGCTGATTCTGTGCCTTTCGTTGTGAGTTCTCCATGGAGGTCCGCCATGGTGCTTGAATTTCCATGTTGGTCCTTGGAGGTTGTGAAGATGATGGTGATGAACCAGATCACGAAGGAGAACAAATCAGGACAGAGCCTGGAACCCAGTGAGGCATTCAGTAGACTTTTCTTTTTTTAAAATATTTTTTACATTTTATTTATTTTTAGGAGAGAGAGAGAGAGAGAGACATAACACAAGTGGGGGAGAGGCAGAGAGAGAGGGAGACACAGAATCTGAAGCAGATTCCAGGCTCTGAGCTGTCGTCACAGAACCCCATGTGGGGCGTGAACCCACGAACCACGAGATTATGACCTGAGTCAAAGTCAGACACTTAACTGACTGAGCCATCCAGGCGCCCCTCAGTAGACTTCTTTTAAACTCTGTATTTTATTATGTCTTACACTTTTTTTTACTGTTTATTTTTTAAAGAGAGGGAGAGCATAAGTGGGGGAGGGGCAGAGAGAGAGAGAGAGACAGACAGACAGACAGAATCTGAAGCAGGCTCCAGGCTCTGAGCTGTCAGCACAAGAGCCCCATGCAGGGCTCAAACTCAGGAACTGTGCGATCATGACCTGAGCCGAAGTTGGAGGCTTAACTGACTGAGCCCCTCAGGCACCTCTATTCCATATACTTTCCAAAGAATCATGCTAATTTCTTTTCAGTTTATTCCATGACTTGAGTCCAAATTTGGCCACCTTAGGTACTGACAACTCTTTTAGAGCATTTCCAGTACATCTTGCCCTTTCTTTCCTACTGCGAATGTCTCATCGCCTTCTGAAGGAGCTTCAATGATCCCCTGTTTATCAGCAGGGGAAAAGGCCAAAGGAAGACTAAGTATTTTGCCTCCAGGTCAGTAACAGTCCCTGAGCAAGAAAGAGGTAGATCTTATTATTTGTCTCTCGTTGAGGTAACTGGACATCCACTGACCTATGCAATCGTGGAGCAGGGACATCCACCTTCCCCTCACAGCGCACTTACTCAAATTTACCTTTTAAGTTCTGCAAATTCATAACTTCACATACATTTAGTTTCAGCAGCACGGAATTCTTTTCAGCGGTTGTGGTTTGCTTGCGTGTGGGTGCTCAGAGGCTGGCTCAGGCTACTTTCTCTCTCCTGCCCTTCACCTCTAGCAGAAAGCAACCGCAAAGAAATACTCCCAGTTCAGCGCGGATGTGGCGGAGGCCATGGCCTTCTTTGATTCCATCATTGCAGAGCTGGATACAGAGAAGCGGCCGCGGGCTGCCGAGGCGGACCCTCCCAATGAGGATGTGGACTTTGACGGTGAGTGCTGGCCGGGGGTGGGGGGGAGGGGGGAGGATGGACTGGGGGTGTGTGACGGGGGTCTCTGGTGTGGCTAGAAGATGAGCTACCAGGAATCTCACCTCCCACTAGAGGGAAACTCGCACCTGCACTCTGTAGCCCAGCCTGGGGCTCGCTCTTCTCCTCGGGGCCCTTTGCTTTAGTTGTGCCAGCGGCCAGCACCCAGCCTACCCCTACAACACTCGCAGCCATATTTGGACAAAAACCCCTGGCAGTCCACTGGCCCCAACTGCGACAAATGAGTCAAGAAAGGGATTGGAGGGGCGCCTGGGTGGCTCAGTCAGTTAAGTGCCCGACTTCGGCTCAGGTCATGATCATGGGCATTGTGAGTCTGGAAATTCCTTGTGAGGCTCTGTGCGTGTGTGCGTCGACAGCCTTAGGGCCTCCCAAGGCTTCGATTCTGTGTCTCCCTCTCTCTCCGCCCCTCCCCCACCAGCACTCTGTCTCCCTCTCTCTCTCTCAAAAGTGAATAAACATTAAAAAATTTTTTTTTTTAAAACATAAAAAGTAAAATCTTTAAAGGAAGGGGATTGGAGGGGGAGCTGGTGTTATATGGGTGTGAAGACAGAGTTTCAGCGTTGTAAGGCGAAGAAGGACTGGGCAGCTGTCCCTCAAAAATGAGTATATTCCACGTCCCTGCACTGCACGCCGAAAGACGGCTCAGACGGCAAATTTTATGTTATGTGTATTTCACTACAGTTTTTGTTTTAAGAGAAGAAAAAGAAACGGAGAAACTGTTTAAAAAACTGTCTGTCGACTCTGCCTGAGCGAGTTTGGCAGTGTCCACACTGGGCTGACTGATCCTTCGTCTGGTTTGTCCCCGCTTCACCCAGCACCCCCTCTGACGCCCTCGGGGTCAGCACTCTGAGGACGCGCAGGGCAGGACAGGGCCAGGGAGCCCGCCTAGGCCAGCCTGGGTCTTTGGAGAGAGAGTGAGGTGAGGGCCGGGGGTGATGCTTCTCTCCTTGCCAACGTGTGTCACTCACTGGCTGTCTCCTGGTGGAAAGCAAACGATTCAATCACATTCATGAGTTCAGCCCGCTTTTAAATTCCATTACTTAACGGTCCGTTTCTTTTTAAGTTTATTGTATTTTGAGAGATAGCACACACAGAGGAGGGGCAGAGAGAGAGGGAGAGAGAATCTGCACTGATGGTGCGGAGCCTGATGCAGGGCTCCAGCTCATGAACCGCGAGATCATGACCTGAGCTGGAACCAAGAGTCAGACGCTTAATCGACTGAGCCACCCAGGCGCCCTGTCAGCTTCTTTAATCTTTGACTTGCTCTCCCTGGTGTAACTGATGGCAATTTTTTTCAGGGGTTCCTGGCCCCCGTTACTGAGGTGCTAGCTTTTGGTGCCCATACTAAGCAATGCTTGAGCTTTTTATCTAATGCTCAAAAGACCCTATTCTTGTGGTTTGCCATTGCTCCGGGCCCAAAAGACCTATATCTGTGAAATTCAGGTTCTCATTGGGTTTGGTGGGATTTCACAGAAGGTTACCCCCACCTCCCCCGCAGGCTCACTGTGCCCTGCAGGCTAATCTGCCCACCTTCCTCCTGGACTGCAGCCCCTCGGTCCCTGACGGAGGCCAGCCCTCCTCTTGGGAGTTGGACCTGGAAACCCAGGACGCTGGCGAAAGAACAGCAAAATCCACTGAGGATGCAAGTGTTACCTTCCACGATTTTTGAATGAAAAGGACATTATGGTTTTCTCTCATAATAATAGCCCTATACGTTCATTGTTAATCTAATGAATCAAATGATACACCAAAATACAAAGAAAGTAAAGAATATGGTCTGTAACACTACCACCCAGAGATAATAACCACTGTTAAACTTTGGTCTATGTCTTTCCTTTCCAAAAGGTTTTAAACATACACACACACATATACACACACACACACACGCTCACTTAATTAAAAACAATAGGACCTCTGCCATTTTGTCATCTGTTCTTTTCACTTAACCATTTATAATACATCACGGGTTGTCTTTGCATGTCAGTAAACATAGATGTATGTCTTAATTTTTAATGGACACATAAATACCCCACCATATCCCTACCCTATCTTTACAGGGTCAGATCATCCCCCTCTCACTTGCCTTTCCCAGCCTTTCTAAGAATCTGCTGTTGTAATATAGGCATTTGTTGTGGGTTCTCAGCCTGGTTCACCCTCTCTTGCTCCTTCCCGGGCCCCTGCTTGTCTCTTCCAGTGGCCACCAGCTCCCGGGAGCACAGCTTGCATTCCAACTGGATCCTGCGGGCACCACGCCGGCACTCTGAGGACATTGCTGGGCACACCGTGCACGTGACAGATAGCCAGTTTCGAAGGAGCGTGGAGCGCAGGACCTTCGGCACTCAGAGGAGGCTCGAGAGGCACCCCATTTACTTGCCCAAGGCTGTGGAAGGGGCATTCAACACCTTGAAATTTAAGCCCAAAGCCTGCAAAAAAGAGTAAGTGCTTGGACCAAATGGTATAACTAAGACGTTTTCATGTCCTCCAGACTCCTGGGGTGGTTCTTCAGGTGCCTTGAGTCCCCGTCCTATATACCAAAAATTACTCTTACAGATTTTGGGGGAAGGAGATCTTGGCTAAAGATCTTTTTTTTCCCCGCTAGGGCTGCCTGGGTGGCTCAGCCGGTTGAGCGTCCAACTTCAGCTCGGGTCATGATCTCACGGTTCATGAGTTCGAGCCCCGCATTATGTTGTCAGCATAGAGCCCGCTTCGTGTTCTCTGTCCCCTTCTCTCTCTACCCTTCCTCCACTCGTGCGCTCTCTCTCACTCAAAAATAAATAAACGTTAAGAGTATTAAAAGATGTTTTCCCCTAGTCTGTATGTAAACTCCAGCCTGGTTCACTGCTGTCTCCTCCCTGTGACTTCAGCTCTGGATCTGCTGGCCTTGCCTCTGGCCTACTTGGCCCACATGCTTTGTGCCACCCTCTTTCACTGTCACCCCCCAGGGCCACGGACACCCTGTGTGCTACGAATTTTTTATGGGAGTTTGGGGTTGAGGAGGGCAAAGCGCCAAGAGGGAACCAACACCAGACTAACCAGACGCCCCTGCCTTGGAAAGGCGTTGGTTGACCTGACTTAGCTGGAGAACTTCTTGCTGGCCGGGCTCCCCCTGGCCACTTCGCCACCATCTCTCGGCCTCTTTCCCTCCAGATCCAACTCTCCCGAGACGAGTTCCCATGTTTAGCCTCCAAATTCCTGCGACCTACTCACTTGGAGCGGTCAGTGCTCTCTTGCTCTGGCCACTGCCGCCCATGCTGCAGGGACCTCACCTTTCACAGCAGAAGGGGGTCTATCTGGGTTGGGGTTTGTACAAGAGCCATTCAACTCTGATGGATTCAGAGCTTTTCTAAATAGCGCTTTCCGCCCATAACAATGGACTATGTAACGGACGTACTGAAACCAGGGCTCATCATCCAATCATCCGTCCTTCCCCTTCAAGACCAGTCTGGGGTCCAGCCCCCATGATGATACCGCTTTGTCCGCCACAAGGCCCAGCCCTGGGGGGCATCTGATGGTCTCCGTTGGAATAGTGGATCAGAGCATGCCTTCTCTGTGCAGCCGGCCAAGCCAGACTTAAACCCTCTGCCTCATTCCTCCCTTCCAGCCTGGGGAGCCCCAGACAGATCCTCCTCCACTTCTCAGGAGAAGACACGGAATGGGATGCGGAGCTCTTTGGCCTGGAGTCCCTGGTGTCTCCGGGGGAGGACTACCACGAGACAGAGAACCCCAAAGGGCAGTGGCTGCTTCGAGAGAAGCTGTGGGAGCGGACAGTGCCCTGAGGCCCTTCCGGCCATTCAGTTTGGCTCAGGCTGGGTCCCTGAGAAGGTGGCTACTTTCAGGGCAGCACAGGTGTTTGGCAGAATCAAAAATGGAAGTTGGAACAAAGTCAAGCCCACGAGCCCATCAGCACTGCCCGCCGGTGCCCGGTTAGTGCCAAACACACGCGCGGTCTCCCAGAGGACCTGCCCTAGGAGACTCTGGAGCTGGGCTTTCCCGGCATGGCAGGTTGGCAGGTAGTTACAGCTCGGCGGGTCTCCCAGCAGGGAGTGGGAGTATCCAGACTCACTCCCTGGTCTCCCCTGGCCTGTTTCAGTTCTCTGTGCATCTGTCCGAGTGGCTTCTAACACTGTGCTCAGGACAGGAAATGAGCCCACCCCTGGATCTCTGGCCAAAGTTTTCAGAAAGGCAGCTCCTGTCTCTGTGGGGCTCAGGAATACCCTGATCACAGAGGTTGCCTCCCTTTGTGCAGAACACGGTCCAGGAAGCACCTCCTTCTGCATTAACACTTTCACGGTTCTAGACATTTCTAGAAACATCTGCTGGATTACACGGAAGATGGGGCCAGTGCCCTGGCATTGGGAAAGAGTGTGCCAGGGCCCTGCCTTGGGACCACACTATCTCTCCAGCCCCGAAACCCAGCTCTCCTTCCCACAGGTGGTGGGCTTTCTTCTAATTATCGTCCAGAATATCCTGATAGACGCCCATATGACCAGCTTATGGCCGGCTGTGCCTCTCCCCTCCCACTTAAGAGGAAAATCAGCATCCCTGAGTTCTTTTGGACTAGGAAGGATTTGTGATTTTAGTAACTATCTGAATTAGAATTACATCTTAAATATATTCTTTGCACTTCTCACATACTTTTTCCTGCTCGGGTTTGAGAACCACTGTTCTGGAGAACACATTGCATTCTGTTCATTCCTATTACTTCTTCTGGTGTTTTCTTACAAAGAAAGAAATCGTCCAGTTGGTACATGCTCATGAAATGCCAGAGTGCTCTTGGGGGTAAAGGAGGGAGACAGACTAGGACAAACCAATAATCTAAATTAAGCCCAAGACGCTCTAGGCTAAGGTCACTCTGAGAACTGAATAGAGCTTTCTTTCTGCCAGGCCCATGTAATGATGGTTGTATTGTTCAGTTTTTTATAAAGAATGTTTTATTTATGTGAACTTGACTATCTGAATCTAAGTATTTAAAACTCCTATGAGAAAAAAAAAACTAAAAATTATGTGGCATTCTTAGCCATTTTATATCAACACATTTCGGATGAAAATATACTGGAAATGTTTTAATACTTGTCTTTATTATTATTTTCCTTTTGAGTGCCAAGGTCAATGTTTGGGAGATCTCTTTCATTTTGTTGCTTATCCTAAGCCCACTCTAGCCAGAAGCTTGGCTGAAAAATAAATGTTTGGGAGATTTGTTTTATAAACTGCATTAAAGCACACCAAGTTAATATTGCCACGTATCTTCCTTTCCCCCAAATGTGGCCTTGTTTTGAAGCCCCACAAATAAAAGTTCACTGCTAAGGATAAGTTCAGAATGAAGGTCTCTTTACCCTGCCTCTTATCAAACTACAGTTTGTCATAGATTCGACCCTGACATTATGTGGTGAAGACTTTGTGTACATTTTGCTTTTACAGATAAGAAAAAAAATAAACAGGACAGAAAGGATGTTTGGAGTCTTGATCTTTTTTTTCTTTTAGCATTTATTGCTTATGGGACACGAAGCCATGCTTTCCTCTCTTGCTTCCCATTTTGTATATTTTTGTCTTTAATGAGACTATACACAGACTGCCTGAAAAATGCCATGATTCAGAAACAGAAGGCTGGCGTGTCTTTGGGATGATTTTAGGTATTTGAAATTGGCGATACACTGCAGGATCTGGGCTTTGTCTAGGGAATCCTGAGATAGTGTCTACTGAGGTCTTAAGAGAAATAAGATTCACGCCAATAAAAGTCAATTCAGTAAAATCAGCTGATGTGATTGATTCTCTTCCCCCACGAATTGAGCAGTTATTCAATCAGCTGCTCCCTGAGAAACAATGGTAGTGGCTACAGCTTTTCCAGGATTGTCTCAGTTTTGATTTATGGAAATCTACCTATCTCTAGACCTCTGTCCAAAAAAGAGGATGTGAGCTCCTGGCAATGGACTTATACTTCAGGCTTTGTTTTCTAGCTCCCACCACAAAATGTCTTCTTCATGCAGGAAGATACATGGGAGTTTAGTTTGAATGGTGTATACCCAACTCTGAAGGGTAGCTCTGCCACAGAGAACGTGGCTTCCAGTTGGTTCTAACAGGAGGCACATTCGTGTCATCACGGATGGCCCTTTCATGGTGAATTCATTTCCTCCTGCTGTCGTAACAATGACCACAAATGCAGGGGCTTTATTCTCTTAGAGTCTGGAGAACTATAATCAGGCCGACTGGGATAAATCAAGGTGTGAGCAGAGTTGATTCCTTCTGGAGGCTTTGAGGGGATCATCCGTCCCCTTGCCTTTCCGGCTTCCAGAGGATGCCCACATACCCTGGCTTGTGGGCCCTGCTTGACATCACCTGCACCTTCTGCTTCTGTCTTCACATCTCCAGCTACTCACTCTGATCTCTTGCTTGTCCCTCTTAAGGACCTTTGTGATTACATCAGTCCCACCTGGATGACCCAGGATCGTCTCCCCGTCTCAAAAACCTTAACTGAATCAAATCTACACAGTCCCTTTTGCCATATAAGGTAACATTCACAGTTTCTGGGGGTTAGGATGCAGCCATCATGGGGAGGCCATCATTCAGTCCACCACACATGGAACCACAGCATATTCTAGTCCTTCAAGCCTAGATGAATCTATCAAGTCCTTATTAAGCTGTATATCGAGCAAAATAGTATAAGACACACTTTCTCTCCTTTGGTAATCGGCAACTCAACGGGGGAAGTTAGGACAAACACGGATAAAATGGTGCTGAGCACTTACTGCTTCATGGAGCACCTCTGCCCCCCCCATAAGAATAGCTCTGCAAAAGCAGAAGTCCATTTAGCTCAAGACGTCAGGGAGAACTTCACAGGAGAGGTTCTCTTGAAAGACAGCGTTAGCCTCTGGCAGAAGATTGCTAAAGGCTGTCATTTCATGCAAAAAGACAGGTATTAGGAAAGTCACAGACATGGTCGTGGCCAGCAAGGGGATGCCCTTGACTGAAGGGCAAGGTTTTTACTGAGCATCCATGGAAGGCTACATTGATAGATGTCAAGTAGAATTGATCAGATGGGGGTAAAGAATTGAGTGTTGTCTTGTTCTTGAGCCGAAGCGTAGAGAGCAAAAGCCTCAGATGATGCAATACAGTTATGGGGGTGGGGGTGGGGGGGAGTGGCCCCTGAAAGGCTGTGGGATTAAACCGATCCAAACTTCCCATAGCTTCAGGAAGAGAGGATCTCAGGCCCCAGATCTGACTTCTGTGGTAGATCTTGCCCACGGTCCCTGTGCGGTTCACATGCGTTCTCAGGTGGTATCTGTTTCCACCTGTGGTAGGCACCCCCCCCACCCCCCATCAAACACAGGGTGCCCTAGACCCCCCTGTTCCTCATCAACACCCTGGGTCAGGGCAGCTCTCCTTGAAAGGGGCAGGAGGAGCGTGGTGGTGGTGAGGGGAGGGTTTGGGCAGACACAGGGTGTAAATAAATGTATGAAGCCATTTTGGTTGACCTCCCAGGCCATGGAGGATGTCAAAAGCCTGCCGGTCATTCTCTTGGGGTAATTCCCGTGTTCATTTATCCATTTGTTTGTCATTTGGCAAAGAATGTTGAGCATGTACTATGTCCCACCCTATGTCTGGGGACAGAACATAAACAGTCTCTCACGGCGCTTTCAGTCTGGTGGGAGAGACAGACCTTAATCAAAGGATTACAGCAGTACCATGGATCAGAACTGTGGTAAGGGCCGGGAGGGAGGCCCGTGGTGTCACAGGGAACTTGTAAGCAGGGGGGCGTATGAACTGGTTGGGGCGTCTGAGTGGCTTGGGGAGGGCTTTCTAGATCCCATATGGCTTCACTTGTCCTACTCAAATACTCAAATGTCACCTCCTCAGAGAGGTCTTCTTGACCACCCTATCTCAACTATCGCTGCTATTTTTTTTTAAAATGTAAAGCTTATTTATTTATTTTGAGAGAGAGAGAAAGCAGGAGTTGGGGAGGGGGAGGGAAGGAGGGAGGGAGAGAGAATCCCAAGCAGGCTCTGCACTGTTAGCGTGGAGCCTGACATGGGACTCAAACCCATGAACCGGAGCCAAAGTTGGATGTTTAACTGACTGGGCCATGCAGGTGCCCCTCAACTATCACTGCTCTTTTTTTTTTTTTTTTTTTTTTTTTTTTTTTTTTAAATTTTTTTTCCCATGTTTATTTATTTTTGGGACAGAGAGAGACAGAGCATGAACGGGGGAGGGGCAGAGAGAGAGGGAGACACAGAATCGGAAACAGGCTCCAGGCTCTGAGCCATCAGCCCAGAGCCCGACGCGGGGCTCGAACTCACGGACCGTGAGATTGTGACCTGGCTGAAGTCGGACGCTTAACCGACTGCGCCACCCAGGCGCCCCAACTATCACTGCTCTTAATCTCTACCATGGATCAGCTGGCTGCGCTGTGTTTACTATGATCTAACACGTGATTATACACACACGCACACATATACACACTCACACATACTCACTCATATACATTCACATACGCATGCTTGCCCCCATTAAATTGTGAGCTCCATGAGGGCAGTAGCATAGTCCATTCTGTTCATGCTCTGTCCCCTGCGTCAAGAAGAGTGCCTACACCAACAACTGTTTGTTGACTGAGTGACTGATTGACAGATTGCATAAATGAATTGAAATGAAGTGAGTTGAGATCTTTAGGGGGATAGGAGGCATCAGAATATAAAGGGTTGGGAGCTGTAGAGAGGGATTCAGGCTGAGGAAGTGTCATGGGCAAAGGATCTGTGCTGGAGGGGGTATGGCACTGGAGGGAGTT